CTACATATTAATACCATGGTCGACGAATTTCACCACCCGGTACTTTCGTTCCGGCCGGAGATCTGCTCGGCTGAAGCCATACAGGTGTGAATCACACAAACCTGGCACCAGTCTGAAAAACCGAAACATTTGTTGGTTCAATAGCATTATGCAAAGCTTCAGAACTTCATTGACTAGACGGAGATTCTGTGTGCGATCACCGGCATCCGTGACAAACGAACTTGAAGGTTGACTCACAAGAGCGCTGTCAGTAAGTATATCAATAAGGATATCCGCAGGTGACGAACTAACTAAGATCCGTAAGGGTAGCCGACAACCTTGGGGTCAGGCTCTGAGAATCGAATGTTGAGATTGTGGATCATCTCGCCGACCTGCGTGGCGACAAAAGCTTCGGCGGTTATGATAGCTTTGGCCAAGCCTTGATTGATACTTGCATCGACATCTCTTGTTGTTGCACTGGCATACAGTTCTTTTCATGATAGCAGCACGCCACTCTCGAAGAAGGACAATATTGGGGGTATCGTGTCATGGTCTATAGAGTCATACGTGTAAAACCCTATAAATGACAAATGATCAATAAAATAAGATCCGATATTAACAGCATCAAGACTAGTGTACCGTTTGCCTGAAAGATGTTTGGATACATTCCTTGAAAGGAGTGAAGTGTTACAATTAATATCCGGTGGAACGGTCTCCCCAAGACCTGTGCGAGATTTGTCTGTGCGCTATTGGACAGTTACGCTCCTGGCATATAAGGCGCACACAAGAGTATTTGTCATTGACGTCCTTACTCTTCTGCGGTGCGGTGTAAACAGCGCCAGGGGAAGCACCCATTGAAATTTGTCTCCTTGAGTCTGCTGCATCTGGATTCTGCAGTGGCGCACAAACGCACGAATGGGAGAGATTCCACGAGTCTGCGTTTAACTGGTCGAGGCCATAAGGGTCCGCAACCAGTTGTGCGCTAATGCAAAGTCGGCGGAGAATCGGGGATGGCAGAGTAACTTACCATGCTCTGATGAGGAAGCCGTGGTACTTTTAAGTTGATGCATCAAGAGGGGTAGTGGTTGGACTTTATGGCCATGATACAGATATGAGCATTTCCAGGTGTACAGCGCTGAATATAGATCCTTGATGTGTTGATTGTACTCATGGATGACGCCAATCTCGACGCCTCCCTGTGGAACCCGATTCAATCTGCTACTCCCAAACGCCAACTTATGCATTCACCTGAACCAACGTCCGAAGCTTCGATCTTACTACGTAAACCAGCGAGCTCGTCTACATCTGTTTGGTCGTCATCATGCAACTTGCAAGTCACTGATAGCTCTGCCAGGACCAACACTAGCAGGAGGGTTGCGTAAACATTGAATTTCACATTGTATGGGTGCTTACAAGTTGCTGACGGAGAAATTTTCTTTTGGTGGGCGGGAAAAAAGTCGTCTACAGCTGGTCAGACTTATTGAATGAATGCCTGTGACGAAGAGTTCTGTAGCGCGGTAAAGACTACCTTCTGTCTGTAGCAGTGAGGAACGCTAATGCAGAAGTATTAATCAACGGAGATCAGAAAGAAAAGATACCAACCGAGAAATTACATCTACTAATTGCAGCTATTATTACCCAGTTGTTCTTTCGTTGTGGCTGGAGCCCTTTACCAGACAACGTCTTTGAATGCTTCGGCTGCAATTCCTTAGGTGTTCCTTCATTCGCAAGATACACGACGTTATGGAAGAGGGGAATAGAGTCGGGTTCCTGTGACGTTGTGGTTTGTTGGTCGAATCAGATGTGCGACTAGTAGATCTTATAGTAGTTCCGTATGCAACTACGGAAGATGAGTCGGGAGCGGGAAGTGGGATGGCAGTGAGAACTGCATCTGAATCATGCAAGAGTGATTAAATAGCGTCAGACTGGTGGGAAGCGTAATTCAAGCAGTGATAAGTAAAATTAATGGATGAGGGAAGAAAAGAACTGGAAGTTCCTGATCCTATCAATGCCATCGTCGTCGAGACAGTGACCGGTGCGCTTCAAAGTTTCAATTTTGTAACGGAGTGCGGAAGTAAGTTAGATCCGTGTAAGGCTGGTCACCGACCACGTGCCACGCTAGGCTGTCTAACAAGCGTTCACGTTACTGTATAAAATTGACCTCGTTAGATATATCTCAGCATACCCTTAATCCGCAACATTATTCATACCCACGAGCTCAGCAATGTCGTCTGTGCGGCTATCATTCCACTTTACTAGGCTTACGCAGTCTGCAACACGCTCATCATGGCGAGCTACTGCCACTGGGAGCCGGTACATGTCTCAAAATATCTCTACGACGGAGGAAGCTGCTGTCTCGCTCGATATCGAGGTATAGACGATGTTTCTGTTTTTTTTCTCGTTTTAACAATCTATGAAGCCCTCCCGGCTCACTGTCACCAAAACAATGAGCCCCAAGGAACTCCCTGCTTCTAAGAACCTTATGTTCGGGCGGACATTCGTGAGTCATTTTCTCAGGTTCTTCATGTGTCGTACCTCATTGTCATTCCAGTCAGATCACATGCTGAAGATCCGCTGGACTGACGCTACTGGCTGGGAAGCTCCCAGTATTGAACCTTGTAAGTCTTACCGTTTTCGTCATAGCTTTTATCGTTATCTTTGCTCTTATGTTCTAGTCGGCACCATCAATCTATCCCCTGGTGCTACCGTGCTTCATTATGCCCAATCACTATTCGAGGGCATGAAAGCCTACAGACACGAAGATGGTACTGTGACGATGTTCCGACCTGACATGAATATGAAACGTATGAACAACAGCGCAAAGCGGCTAGCGCTTCCCGTACGCTCTATTATTTTATTCTGAGCAGATATTCATGCCTATCTCCAACAGGCATTCGATGGAAATGCACTTCTTGAATGCATAAAGGAGTTGATTTCTCTTGACCGTCAATGGATACCTAAGGAGTCCGGACATAGTCTTTACATCCGACCTACATTAAGTGAGTAGTGCAACCCTCGTTTTTGACACTGATACTAAGAGACACTGCAGTTGGCACTAATGGCACGTTAGGTGTTGCACCCCCCACTGAAGCACTACTCTTCGTGATTACCAGCCCTGTGGGACCATACTACCCTCATGGGTTCAAGCCTGTACCTTTACATGGTACAACAGAGTACATTCGCGCTGCGCCTGGAGGTACGTCAAGTTCTTAGCTCACCTTTCGGATATTGTAATCACTACACCTAAAGGTACCGGTGCATATAAGCTTGCCGCGAACTATGCTCCGGGTGTTGTGGCACAAAAAAGTGCAGCAAAACAGGGTTACGCGCAGAACTTGTGGTTACATGGTCCCGAACACTGGCTCACAGAGGTAGGCACCATGAACTTGTTCGCCGTTATTAAGGACAAGGACGGCAGTAAGCATTCATCTCAGCGGTGTCTCAAACGCATGTTGAATTCGTTGCCTTCGTAGTTACTGAACTCATTACTCCCCCTCTCGACGGAATGATTCTTCCAGGTGTCACACGCGACTCTGTGTTAGCCCTTGCCCGTAACCATACCTCAGGGGTCAAGCGTCTCGGAGGTCTTCCTGATGTTATCAAGGTTTCCGAACGCCCAATTAACATGGGCGAGATTATCCAATCCTCAAAGGAGGGTCGACTTGTCGAGTTATTTGGTACCGGCACGGCTGCTGTTGTCACACCTGTGGACAGAATTGGGTACAACGGTGGTGATGTCACGATTCCTACTGGTAAGGACGGTATGGGTCCCATCTCGGAACCTCTTTGGGCGGAGCTGGTGGGTATCCAGACGGGGGCTATCAAGAGCAACTGGAACTACGTGGTGGCGCAGTAGTGCAGCTGCCATTCATCTACAACAGGAGATCTATTTGTGCATTTCAATAGAATCTAGAATTCTCTGGTGGCGATCGTAAGATGGCAGTTTCAGTCAGTTGTAACGCCGAAGGTTTTATGACATCCTTACGTGCTAGCTAGCCCTCTAATTTTTCTTGTCCAGGTATCTGGTTCTTTTTTCTGTTACTGTATTAGTAAGCGCTGGTAGCGGAAGCCCACCGACACACCATCTGTATTGGGACCGTGGTTCTCAGTTCTTTAGCCTTCATGCTCTCTACCAGTTTCGATGACCTGATTGACGGCGCATCACACACGAATAATTATGCTCGCGGTGCCACGTTGACTGACCTGATCAGACAATGCGGTGAGTGCGCTGCTTACGTTCTTGATGGGCATCTCGGATATAGATACAATTGGGGCTAGCAGCGGTAATCAGGCGGGTATAGCTTGTGACGCAGTGTTACTCCTAGTCGTGCACGCCGTAACAGTCGGGGAGACTAATATTTTCTCACTCGGCACTGGATTTGTTGTTGACGACAATGGCAGAACAGGAAGTTATTGGGACTGCACATGCTCTACCGGAGGCCTCTGCGCCTCAGTTGCAGGATTCGGCCAAACATGCCTGCAGCTCGTATCGTCTGTGCTGAGCGGATCTCCTTCGGCTGTTGATGGATAACCTGAATTAGTATGGCAGGTAGCCTCCAGAAAGGGGAGCTCCTGTAGAGATGATACACGAGGTACACTAATGACACAGATTGAGGTCAGAGTCCACTTATGTTCACTTCCAGCCGGGATTTGACTGCGTGCGTGATTTGGTACTGAAGACATCATCATGGGTATATCTCGCAGGACTGTGTGACAATACTGTCTTTTTGACGTCAATGCATGTCCGTTCATTCCAGCCCATGGACACGAATGATATTCAGATGCTCAGGCGGAGAAGAAATCGTTGGCACGTTATGTGCTGATTCGACGTGACTTGTTTGAGTGTCTTTATGAAAATCGTACGAAGTGTAGCTATCGAGTTGCAGCTATCGGCGACCAGCAGCAATCCATTAAGATCAAGCACATGATCATTTGAAGTTTAAGTTATACTTGCCGTCATCCACTAGTAGAGGGGCTGACTAAGAAGACATTCCCTTGTAGCTTAGTCATCAAGGGCAAACTAATCATCATCCTTTGGCAGTTGCCTCAAGCAGAGCATCCACCTGAGCATTTACTTGCATCGGTCTGGCAGTCCATTATACTTCTTTACATCTGTATTTTTTCTCCGTCCTCGATAACCCAAGATACACAGGCTAGTTGTATAACTCTTCTTTTCTCTCTTTTTCTCTGGTGAAAATGCTTTACGACCCGACCACTGTAACTCACCTGAAGCCTTGGTTGGTCCGAACTCTGGAGCCAATGTGCGTATCACCGGATGCTCTGTCTTTATCGCCTCTAACAATGATGGGAATATTCAGATGTGACGCGGAGCCTGGGGCACTTGCTGAATACGTTCTCGCTTTGCTGAAGCACAATGTCCCAGAAAATGAGATGAGAAAGGAGCTCAGCTCCCAGCTGGAAGAGTTTTTAGAGAAAGGTGTGCATGATCCTGGTGCAATATCTGCGTCTCGTTCTCAATTCGGTACCCAGAGGGACCCTCATTTATAGATACATTATTCACTGTTCTCAGAACTAAGACGTATCTCCCGTACACGGCCAGCGACCCAACAAGTTCTTTCCCGTTGACCTCACATTCACAATCTGCAGATACTGGGATTCCTATACCTCTGGATGGTCTCCTATCTAATCACTCGCCAACGGAAAGAGGGCAGAAACGATCGCTGGAACACGATGAACGTGACGGGCGCCCACCCACGAAAGGTGCTCGGTTAAGTGCAGAAGGCCAATTTTCACGGTATCCCAATGGTCGTGATTCTCGTTCCACCGGTGCATGGAGTGGTAGCCAAAATAGGCCTGGTGGCCAAGGGATGATAATGAATAGTCCAGTGGGTAGCGGCATGAATGGGAGCAATCAAAGTGTGGGCACCCGACGACCACAAAATTATCAGCCGCCAGACCAAAGAAAAGGAATATGTCGTGATTATCATAGTGCGCATGCTCTTTCGTAATAATTTAAAGAAGCTGCTCACGTGTATCCCTACAGATAATGGATATTGTGCTCGTGGTGCATTATGCAAGTATAGTCATGGCGAAGATGCTTTCGTCCCGTCGCAAATGTTTTCTATGAATGGTGCTGTACCATTTTTACCAATGTTTGGCGGAATGCCTTTCGGTATGGCTCAAGGTGCCCCCTATGATCCTCACGAGGCACGCATGGATATGCGTCCGAATGGGGCCGGCATCGGCTTGGGTCGTGGAACGCAACGTGCTCCTCTACTCTCCAGGGCTCAGCAAGAGGACGGTGGTCAAGTCTCTCACATAGTGGACAGGTCTGGCGAACTTCCCGTCATACAGGACCTAACTCCTCAGCCGCCTCAAGAATCTGCACCGCCGGTATTACCAGCAGGGGATTCCATCCCACAGAGTTCCACACCCATGCAGCATCAACCAGTTCAACACATGGACGTGGAGATGGGTGTTCCGAGTGTACCAGGGCCATCGACGTACAACACACGTGGTGGGTTCGGAGCCGGGAGGGGTGCACCTCGTGGACGAGGCATATTTGGTGGTGACGCGCAGACCTTCCGTCCAGAACGACGGCAAGATAAAACACTTGTGGTGGAAAAGATTCCAGAGGACAAGCTCAGCCTTGACGCTGTCAATGGTTGGTTCAAGCGCTTTGGGACAGTCACCAACGTTGCGATCGATGCTCGCAGTGCCAAGGCTCTCGTGAGTTTCGCTGAACACACCGAGGCTCATGCTGCATGGAAGTCGGAAGATGCCGTGTTTGGGAATCGGTTTGTGAAGGTCTTTTGGCATCGGCCAATGGAAGGACATGGGCAAACAGGATCGCGAATGTTAGCGGCCTCTGCACCACTACTGGCCAACCTGGCTGCGCGTGAGACCCCCATGCCTTCTGCACCAACCCAGCCTCCTGTACCGCCCGTCACGACTCCCGCCCGTAAACCACCCCTTCATTCTCCCGCCGTATCAGAGCTCGCGGCGAAGCAGAAGCTGCTGGAGCAACAGATAGCGGAGCAGAAGTCTTTAATGGCCTCATTAGAGACCTCTTCTCCCGAGGAGAAGAAAGGGATTCTAGCAAGATTACGGAAATTGGGAGAGGAGATGACGATTTCATCAGTACCGTCACCATCGTCGGCTATCCCCGCCAAGGTCCACTCCCCTGCCTTGACTACTCAGAATGATCACGAGAAAAAGGAGAGAGAGCGGTTGGATAAGGAGCTTGAGTTGCATGCTGTTGGGGAGTCTACAGAGGAACTTAAAGCTAAACTCGCAAAATTAAGGGAGGAGGCAGCAAGTCTTGGAATACCGGAGACCACTCCTGAAGTCTCGTATGGTGCACCGTATCGTGGATACAGAGGTCGCGGCCGCGGGGCACGTGGAGCCTTCTACCGCGGAGCACCGCGAGGTGGTCCTCCTAGGGCGAGTATGAAGCTCGACAACCGCCCAAGGAAGTTATTGGTGAAGGGCGTTCGTGAAGATAGCCTGCAAGCATTGCGGGACTGGTATGAAGTACGTCGGGATTCTTCATTTCTGGACGCGTGGCTCATTGACAATCATAGACCACCGGCCAGCTCGATTCAACGGAGAGCATCGGCGATGATGAAGTTCTCGTCAATTTCAAGACGAGAGCGGCTGCTGAGCAGGTTGGTCAATAGATGATTTATTGTATCGGAGCTGTGCTCACAATTCGGTCAGGGTTTTGCCAAAGGATCAACCATCGCTGCAGTAGGTCCAGTGAAGATTTCATGGTACAGTGCCCAGCCATCGCAAGCAAAACCGCAAGGCATCGCCGCGCCCATATCGCAACCTGCTACCACAAAAGACATTCATCCAAACGATACGCGGAATACTTCACCGCCTCCGGGACGCCGTCCCTCCCCCCGTCCACAAGACGAAGAAGTCATTGCCAGTGGGTGGGGCGATGGTGATGAAGATGGTATGGGGATGTTTTGATCGTACAGATTTTGCGATCCTTGGAATTGTCTTGGTATTGTACTCGATGCCGGTATATCTTAGTCCTGCTGGCGGCTCGAAAAATTTTCCTGCAGATTCAACGTCTCAATCCCTAAGTTACACCCCGCTCGTCACTCGATTTTGTCTGTCAATCAGTCAATCATTAATTCGTGGTCTACGTCTATCGTATAGCGTAGAAGTCCGTTTGTGAAGTCCATTTAAACTTGTGATTCGTAACATTTATCTGTGCACTGTGAGTTCGTATAGATTCATGTATCATATCTTCGTCGACTATCTCCACCCGCGATGGAAGCTATAAACTATAATGATTTAGGGAGTCGGGATGTGACCATTCCGTTGGCATTGAAGGCATCCACAGTCCTGCGTCGGCGAAACGCGGGAGCAGCTAAGTTCACGGCATCTTCCATGTGTATATCGACTTCACCACTCTGAACCTGTGTGACTGCGCCAAGATCAGCAGTCCTACGAACGGGTGGCGATCTGCTTTGGTTCATGGGAGGCTCGTTGATTCTTGGGGGAGATAAAGAAAGATAGGGTACTTCGCCCGGAAGGATCCCATCACTGACATCCCCTCCCAATGGCATTGGAGAATCGCACAGCGCGAGTTTCGTCCACGTTTGAGCGATATTGTCAATATCCTTCTCAATGTCAAATGATGTCTGTGGTTGAGATCGGGATGTATCTGTGGTTTCCGGTGGGTCGTAACGCTCTAAAGACCTCAGGTAGTCCGGAACTCCTGTAAAAGGCTCCGAGTTGGTATTTGTGCGTGCAACTTTATGCTTTCGATGGTCCTTATGATAAAGCACAATTTCCTCCTTGATTTCGTCTACAGCCCCACCGATGATAGCTTTGAATTTCCTGAACCTGGCTTTCAGCTGTGACTCGTGGGCCATTTCCAGTTGCTTCTCCATAGGCGGGAGCCAAGCCTCATTGATAGGGGAGAGCGAATGAGGCGATTGTGGAGACGTGTTGCATGTTGAATGAGAATCAATGAAGAGAAGGGTAATAGGCTGGCTATCTTGTCGGATACAACGACGCTTGTAACTGGCGTCGTCTCCTGAGGATGATCTCCGTGCACGAACACGACTCCTACTGGTAGGGTATTGACGATGAACAGCATCTGGACTCGTGGGAGGCGATCTATTCCCCTCCCGTAAAACCGGAGTCCCATGTTTTGTGGAGAATATTCCGGGAGGTGCAGCTGGTGCGAATTCTGAGCGACCCCAAGGGTGTGAAAGGGAGCTGTCGATCAGGCTAGGAGGCGGTGGTGATGTGCATGGAGGGGATCTTGTTGGGGGAAGGACTTGACTTTCCTTGTCACGCCCATATTGCATGGATAATAATCGCGACGGAGGCACCAATGCCGAATTCGCTTCTCCGCAAGGGGAGCCTCTACCGTGCGATAGAGATATATGTCGTAATGAAAAGGATGTGGGTGACAAAACACTCGACGCGAGCGTACGTTCTCGTGGTGAATGTACCGAAGTATTGCGAGAACATGTTATGTTTGGCGAGACAGTCGGGCGAGTAATAAATGAGAAAGCACAGTGACTGTACACCTGCTGTGGGAGATTCTGTGTAGGATAGCGGTGCTGGATCTCGTCGATCAGCATCCGGTCTGATGACCATCGGATCTGACAGGCAGAAGGAACATCAACCGACATACGGAATGAAGCCCTATGCTGAGCGCTTTGATCAACATTCGGAGAAAATGAATCAACCGACATCTGAGACGAAGCCTTGCTATAGGTGCCTGTCAATGGGGAAGGTTCAAGAGACATTTTGGAACTCCTTTTCCGAAACCGCGTAGAGTATAGAGGGGCATCGTCAAGGGACATGGGCTTTACATCGGACCCAGGGGAAGATCCCGAGATGGACACAGTCGCTAAGATGCCATATGCATGGTTGTTCCGCTCCTGAGTGACTGTATCTGGTGAAAAAGTCGTCGGTTGGCGAGTAGCAGGTACATGAACGATGAAGGAGGAGTCCGGCACATGCTACACCGAATATTCAATGAAATTGATTTTTTCCTACAATCAAAGTCCCACTACCTGTTTGGCTTGAGGATGACGACCAGCGTGACCTGTTGCTGACACCGATGCTTGTTTCCCCTCATAATTATTTCCCAGAGGTCTGAGACGAGTCTCTTTGGAATAGTATGAATGAGGGCGGTCATCGATACGAGCCCCTATCCGGGAGAAGAGAGAAGGTTTTCGCTTGGGCTGTGAGTTTGGCATTGACGTGTGTATCTGGAATTAGCTGTGAGGGATGCAATACTATCAGTCTGCTCCCAACTCCATGTCTTATACCTTGCCCAATCCTTGTTCTCGACACGGTCACCACACTGGCACGTGCTCGTGAAAATACAAAAACACGCGTCTCTTTGATACAGTGTGGGTCCAGAGAGGCGCTTATGGATAATCTTCTCAACCTAAAAGGTACCAGGTACAACCCACACCTTTTTGAAGTCGAAGCAAGGTCCCGCCAGGCGAGAGCGAGTACAATAAATGAATACCCGGCCCCGAGGAAACCTCACTTGGCAAGTTGTCGACCCTGCTTTAATTTGTTATCATACAACGGCCAACAGAGGACAAAAGTAGGTCGGTTTCCATAGGTATTGGAGTCGTTGAAACGATCAATGTTCCCAGTACCACGTCGTCGACATCAGACCTAGTAATACCAAGCTACGGCGCCAACCAGACCGAGCAAGCACAAATTCAATCTCCGCAACTTCCTGTCAGCGTTCAAGTTGTCCTTGCATAAGTATATGATAAAGCTTTTTTCAATGATCTGTCTCAAGATATTCAATTACAAGGTGTTCACATGGCGGATCTGAACTCAAGACTGCAATGTGCAGCATAGTTCCGAAAGATCCGGGTAGCTTCAAGTTGATGAGCGAGCGTGCTGGCCTTGGGACGCTGGCAGTGAATACACGACGGGCGAGTCCTGACTCAGAGATTCCATGTATTGGAAGTTCGAGCAGCCTGATTTTATTCGTAAGTATCTGTTCTTCAATTTTGTCTCATCCGGTAATATGATTGTCCTCCGAGTCAAGTCACGTCTTCAAGAGTACACTTAGGTGAGCCTTTAGGTGCCAGTATTGTACTGGGAACTGAGTGCTTATATCTGCAAGTTCCCTCAATAACTAAAATCCCGTGTTCCAGAGTGAGACAAGTTCTCTTGACTGTCTGGACAAAGCCTGAGTCCATGTACAAGGTCAAGACACTTCATGACGTTCTTTGTGTATCAGTTGACGGGACCGGCTTTGTGGAGTCATCGAGCTCTAACAGGATTCCCACATGCCTGTGGTGGTCTAGTTTCCTGTTCAATGACATTTTGCCTTATCCGTCTCCGAGGAACAAAAAGTGCGCCTGGAGTACGATGAACCCTCGTCCTCCTTTTCCGTGATTTAACTGGCCTAAACGTCCTGGCTCGGAGCTGCATGGATTCAGTTCAGACCATTGGCGTTGGGGACTATGGGCAAGTAGCTTTCTGAGAGCTCTTTGACCTTTGCCTGTAAAGTTATAGGTAGCTCGTATGTTGGTAACTCACTCCCAGCTCGACGATCAATCCAGATCTACCAATATGTCCTACTCGCAGCAGAAGAGTGGTCACGAACGTTTCCCCTACGCCATGTATAACAACACGTTGGGTATACACCAAGTTGTGCATCCCCACCATATAAACGATCATCCGTCGTTTGTTATGCCCATCTCTTCAGCACCGGTGAGTTTGATCTGCATAGTTAATTTTGTCACTATGATTAACGAGGACTAGAATTCCTCCATCCAGTATTCTGGTAGTACCTCTCACGGCGCAGAGAAGTTTGTCCCAATGGACATTTCGCAGTATAACAAAGACGGCTCTTCGACTGTTATGTTCCAGGTGAATACAGAAAGGAATAGTCTGAGTATTCCTTTGGAGAAGTGTCTCCAGCCCGGCGGTGGAGCGCACTTGAAAGACGCCCAAGAAATTATGTTCCCGACAGTCGACCGTACTCAGGTCCAGACTTTCAAGCTCGTCATCGCTGTAAGTGTTCGCACCCTCGATCGATTGCGAGACCTAAGTTCAGTGTTAGTGGCCTGGATACGACACAGTGGAGTTCCCTATCGACATCGGGACAAATGAACAGCCCATCACAAGGGCTGATCTCGCGCGTCAAATTGCGTATCACTTCTTTGGATTTTTCATCGTATGTGTGCACGTTCTTCTCTTGTAATTTGTCGTTAATACACCGTCAACCAGCAATGCGATAACGGTTATTTAACTCAGAGCTCGCTTTTTAAGTGGAAAGTCGGAGGGCGAGACGGTTATAAGTTTCATCAGATCCGCCTCTCAACATTCTGGAATATCGAAGGGACCTCTTGGGCTGCCTCCGTCAGAGTCCCGGAAAATGCATCATGATAGTGCCTGCTGCACATCTTAACTCCTCCCCGCAAATTCTGTATACCCTCATTGCATCTAAATACCATGACATATATATACTTGAGGATGACCACTATTTCTAACTTACCCGACATATGTCTGCAGTGTCCCTTTTGGCGTAACGGTACGATAGTCTTGACTACTTACGTCATCTTCTAATAGTCATATAATCCCATCCTCCCAAATCGGTTTGGACCCTTTCCTATGTAGGCCTATAGTTACTGTCTCCGTGTCTTGTTATTAACGCTATCAGTCGCAGCCTACGATTACATCGTATCTTTCCTAGCATGCTGATATTCACCAATATCACTTGGCTGGACCTATGTCTTGCTGGTGCCGGAGTGTATCTGGTCAAGCAGGCATTCAGAAAGAAGAACCTTGCACCATATCCCCCTGGACCTCCGGGGTGGCCTCTCATTGGGAACGTCGCAGGCATGCCCCATAACAAGGCTTGGCTCACCTTTGCCAAGTGGCGCAAAAAATATGGTGTGTCTCATGTTTCCCAATACGATACATCTCAATTACACAGTGGTTTGCAGGTGACATCTCGCATGTCGAAGTTCTGGGTCGGCACATCATTGTGCTGAATTCTGTCGAGACAGCGATGGCATTGCTAGACAAAAAAAGCTCTATGTACTCTGACCGTCCAGTTCTTACAATGGGTGGTGAACTTGTTGGCTGGAAGTACTGTTTGGGTTTTATCTCTTATGGTGATCGTTTTCGCTATTACCGCAAGAACATCCACCGCATAATTGGCAGTCGCGCTGCTATGGCTGTCTACGAACCGATTGAGGATATT